TCCATGCAAAACTGTGAATCGCCTTATCGCCTTACTTACCTGGGCATGCTGGTTTAAAATCTAAACTAATGACATTGTGAAAAAGTAGCACACCTGGCGATGATGCAGCAGGACTCTGTGAATTCTCATCGTTTCCCTTTGGAGTGGGGTGCTGCCACTTTAACCCTCTGCTCTGCCTCTACAAAAGCCTCAAACTAAAGGCACAAATACTGCAAAAAATGTCAGGAGCTTTAGTGGCTTTCTTTTGTCGCTGACAAAATTCAATGCCTCTTACAGAAGCACTGCGGCTGTTTCTTTGACAAACATGAAACAAGGCTAACATTTCTCTTAGGTTAAAATAAGGCTTAATTCATGAGGAAGTTTTCTTTTTCGCTGCCTGGACTGAGTGAAACAAAAGTAGAAAAAAAGAAAGAAGCCAACCTAAAGTATCAGGCCTGTTTGTTCGATTTTCCTTCCTGTAATGAGAGGTTTAGCCAGTAATAGCTATGGAGCACAAGCGCGTGCAGCAGGTTATAGAGTTGCCTTGGATGCGGTTTCCCTTTTACCATCATATATTTTGCTTCTGTGGTATAATTGGGCTTTCTCTCCACTCGCTGTCTTCTTGTGGTGTGTTCGTCGTGTCGCCCACACCCTCTACATGTGTGCTTGCATATGCATGCAAAAGACAAACAACATGGGAAACAGAAAAAATAAAACAGAAAATAAACTGCTGCCATTTTCACAGAGACTGCACAGAGCAGATTGATGAACAGGAGCACTGACCTGTAATTACCACAGCTAATTAAAACTCCAATTTGTGAGTGGGTTCTAATGTAAAGAAGAATGAATATCCCTTCTGTTCTGAAGAAAAAAAAAAACCTCTCCCCCATTTTCACTCCCTCTCCTCTATCTTCATCTAATCTGCTCGCTTCCTCCTGCCCTGAGTAACTAAAAACAATTCTGATGGATCCAGCTGTCCCATCTTAACATCCTTCAGCTCATTGCTGCACTCCTGCTTTGATGACTTTGCAGCAACGGCCGACATCTTGCACATTAACATACGATTGTTCCCATGTATTATTTGTGCGCGGAGGGACTGGAAAGAGGGACCGGGGAAAATCCCAGAGCAAGCTGTCAAATGCAAGAGTGAGAGCGGCGAGACGCATAACTCCGAGAGTCGGAGTGTCACATCAGTCATGCGGAAGGAGTGCGAGGCTGGAAGTACTTGTGGTCTTTATCGGTGGTACTGCGAGGTGGAGGTCAGAATATCAGGTCGAGGGGATAAACGCGCCCGAGCGCGGCTCAGACGTCTCTAATTATTCTGCCTTGCAAAATTGTTCATCCCGCTTGAAGTTTTTCACTTTTTGTCACATTTCAGCTCTGGATTTTTATGCATTTTATGGGCTTTAGAAGTAAACAGAGCACAATTGAGAAGTGAGAGAAAATAAAATGTTTCACTTTTTGTTTTCACAAATAAATGTTTAACCCTATAAGACCTAAGTTTCAAATGGATGTTTTTGCTTATTTTAATTGTACGCAGTTCTTTAGATGAGTAAATATATATTTGCCCATTTATCTATAACAACTGGGACTTTCAATATCTGCCAAGTAATTTTCACAATTTACCCTCTATTAAAAGACCGCCCCTCAGATTAATTTCACTCCCTGCTATGGCGGGGGCGAAATTACCGTAGTAACCCAAGATTGGCTGGAAAGGTCAACGTCTCCCCTTTTAGAAACCGTTGATAGCGCAAAGTGTGGCGGAATTACGATACTGCAAATTTGGCTGGATCGTCGCCGCTGCATTCGGTCTGGAAGGGTTAAAAAGTGTCAGTGGATGTGCATTCACACAATCAGCTCAGTGCAGCTTTCCAAAAGGGTTCAGTTTCCAATTTTGACTGACCGGAGAACCTTTTTCCGCAACATTGGGATGTGGCACAACTTTGTTGTCTGTTACAGAAAATCTTTTCATGAACATTAAAAGTTGTGGCTACGACGTGACAAAATGTGAAAAAGTTCAGCGTGAATAAATTTCGCAAAGCGCGATAGATGACTTTAAGGAGCCTGTAATCAAATATTGGACCCCATTGGCTTTTTATCAGCCTTAATAATCTTTTCAGCTTGTTCGAGTTTTAACGCTGTGCCTAAAGTGGGGCTTGTCATCTGTGTAATCGGCTGGACAGGCTAGTTCTCGTCGAATGAGAGCCGCCAAACACAAACTGCATCGCACAACACCTAGGAAATCACTCTGTTCTCAGGTATTGATTTAAGCTGCATCTCTTAGATCCTGCACTCAGCGGCGCTTCCACTTTCAAGATGAGACAGATGAGATTTATCAGCAGAGATGCAGGAGATGAAAAGCGGTGATATGTTCACGGCTGTCAGTCACTCAGTGCAGGCATTAGTCACAACGCGTCTGTTTTTGCCTGATCTGTTGCCTGTCATCTGCGCTCGCAAACAAATGCATCCCAAACGCATGGAGGAGAACCACACACACACACACACACACACACACACCTGTCTCATTTGACACACATTCACTCTCTCATACAGAATGCTTTCTTCTTGAAAAAGAGATTTCCAATTTCAGTCTTCCCTAAGTGGACAGCTCTTGTCCTTCAGAATGCAGGCAGGAAATGAGGCTTTGTTGGTGGATGGATCCTCCGTGGCATGTCCTGTCAGAGGGAGATGGAGGGGGGATTCATTGGACCACCGTAAGCCTCGTGATCTGAGACACCAATTTTTCCGTCGACTGAGTTCTTGTTTTAAACTCCCCAAGTTTTGGTAATCGTTATTTTGCGCTTGTTGTTGCAAAATTAGGCCTCGGCTTGATGGGCTGCTCACCACGTCCGCCTTCGAAGGATGAACGGAAATAAAAAAAGTATGAAAGAGCACCGAAGATTAGCGCGAGGAGAGAAAACTGAAGCAGTCATCTCCCCTCGAATACAGAGGCCATTCTTTGAATATTTGATGCAGACGGATAGGTGTTCACTCCAGTGGAACAAACTGGATTGGAGTCCAGTCGCTCAACTGGAAAAGGCTGTAATTTCCAAGTCATACTTGCGGAGTGTCCTTAAGATCCTCATTTCCGTCGTGGCAGAAGTGTGGCGTGTGGATCAGCACACCTGGGTCCTGCCCTCTGCCGAGGTCAAGTGTGCACGTGTGCATGCACTCGCAGCAGAACTCAGAGACATACCTGGGAATTTAATTTAATATGTATTTGGAGAATGATTAAATTGAGAAATGCTGTTCTTTTACGTTCTTATGCAAGAGAATACAACTGGTGGTTTAATTATGCAGCCTATGGGGTGGCAAATATTGATAAAACTACATTTTAAAGTGTTATCTCACTTTTCGTGTCTTCCAGCCTTTTATAGCTTGTTCATCTTTAGTATTTTTTTCTTTTTGAGTGTTTGCTTAAGAAATTTACTCATATGTTGATAATTTCGAGAGGAAAACCTATCATTATTGTTGGTCCTCCTGTAGCAGGTTAGTGTTGAGTATTAAATTATGAAACATTTAGCTTAAGTATTGCTGTTCAAAGTTTGCACTCTGACCTGGACCAAATCTCAGGCTGTTCTGGGCCCAGTCATTTTTAGTTCCCTCAGATATTGGAAATGCAGAAAATCCACAAAATCCACTGTAAAAGAAACAAAACAAATATGATTTCATTTGTGTCATGTTGCACAGACCTTTAGAAATAACACTTCACCTATTGTAGATGAAGTGTTGTTGGGAAATTTGTAGCAGCTTCCTCCAAACTAGTGAACCTTGGGACACTGCAGGGAGGAGGAGGAGGAAAAATGTGAACTACTTTCCAAAAAAAAAAAAAAAAACCATCCTCAGAGTTTCTGCTGTTGAATGATTAAGCTGGAACAGAACTGCACTGTTATTGCATAGCTGCACAAAAACATTGAATGATTCCCAGTAATATAACCCTATTGAACTGTTACAGTTGTAGTTTTTTACTTTAAATAATGTTTCTATTTAAAAACAAAATTGTGAGAAGAAGAATGTTTGCTGTAGGTCTGAGTGTCTCTGGGTATCTTTCATTTGTACCTCTGCTGTTGTGGAAATTTTTTGAAAAGCTTGCAAAGTAAATGAATTGGCAGTGTTTACGTAAAAATGTCTCATAAAATTCCAGCATAAAGGTCAAATTATTTTTCTTCTAAGCCGTAAGGGAATGTAATAAAAGGAATATGCTGTTCGCTTTTGTGTTGTATGCCTTAGACCTCATGTGGAAATCAGATCTGGACTACTCACATTTTATTTCATAGATGCAAAAATAGACAAAATCAGATACTGAAATACCAGCGTACTGATTTACCGTTTACTGGTTTACATGTAAATGAGCAAAACCTGCAAGCTTTGCAATCGATTAATAAAACAGCTAATTGTGAGAAATTGTTTTTTTTGTTTTTTTGTTTTTTTTACTTCATTCAGTGGGTGAAGTAAGAAAGGCTGCAAGTGAAATCAAACAACAGAATCAGATGGAGTGGCAGCTGTACAAACTGAGAGAGCAAACATCAAAACAGGAAAAGGATGCTGCAGTTCTGTCGGTGACTTCTGAGGCAGAACCGAATATATTTGAGACTGGAAAGTGACAGTTAACACAATGAACCAAAACATCAAAGCTGAAAGTCTCGGGGCTCTGCCTAAGAGGTGTGCCTCATAAAAATCTGCTATTTTTGCAGGTTTGTAGTTTTAACTGAGTAAACCGCTCAAATGTGCTAGCTGCAGTCGGATAACCGATGCACTTCAATTTCAGGAATGTGTTCGGTTTTGCAGCTAAGGGCAGACCCTTAGCTGCAGACCCTGCAGCTAAGGGTCTGCAGCTAAGGGCAGCAGACCCTTAGCTGCCCCTGATTTATTTACGTTTCTACATTCCTCTGTATAAACTTATTCTCTTAATTTCATCAACACGCTGGGTGAAATTACAATGTTTTGCCCTCCGCTACCATCAGTGGGTCACAGTCTGCGTTCTCACATATGCCGACTGTTTTCTCTGATTCTTCCCCAAGGTGTAAGTGTAACCTCCACGCCTCCCAGTGCCTGCTGACTGAGGGGAACCTCCAGTGCCAGTGTGAACACAACACCACCGGGCAGGACTGCCAGAAATGCAAGAAGGGCTTCAAAGCCAAGTCCTGGAAAGCAGGTTCCTACCTGCCTGCACCAACTGGAACCCCCAACACCTGTACGTACCTGCTTCACGCATTGTGCTCATCCGATGTAGAGTGGTCAGACGTTTGCGTCCACTCATCACGGGATAAAGCATCAGACATTTTGGGCTATGAATCCTATAATTCATAGAAAGTTAAAGGTGAATTTTATGGTTTTTTTAGTGGCTATCAAACCCCTGAAACAAGCCTGGGGGAATATTTTTCCACTCTTCATGGTGGATTTGGTGTCCAGAAGGGTTATGAACTCAAGCCACAAACTTTCAACAGAAGTTTAAAATGTTGTTTAGTTGCTAATTAGAACCTGGTTCGTTTTGTTTGTCCTTTTGGAAGACACAAATGTTTCCAAATGTAGGTGTTCATGCTAGGTAAAGTTGGAGAATGTAGAGATATTTATTTATTATTCATTCTCCCCAGTGATCCAGCATTACTCTCTGTGAAAAAGTCACACAGCATGATGCTACCACTACTAAGCTTGATCATTAATACAATGTTCCTAAATGTGTTAGAATGAACTTTATTCGTCTAAAAATTATTCTCGTCTATGTAGCCAAACAGCTCAACCTTTTTCTCATCTGATATTTGAGCTTTTTTTTTTCCCCGGGATGCATTTTGCTCGTCCGTGTAGAAAGCTGTCAATTCAACATGATTTGGGTGGGGAGGCTTCCTTGTTGGTCGTCTTGCTCTCACTCCATGACGATCTAAATCTCACTTCACCACAACTCTGGTTGTTCCAGCGTGAGATCTCCTCGAGCCGCAGCGTTTCCTGGGTTGTTCGTGAACATCTAAACTATTTCCTTCCATCTGAAAGTGACAGCTCAGGTGTTCGTCAAGACCCAGAAAAGTGGTGACGCATTAGAAAAATTCAACTCCTGTATGAATATTTGAACTGATGATCTTAGAATTGGACTTTTATTGATCTGCAGTTCTCCTCACATCTCTCGTAGTTTCTTTGATTTTCCCATTATAGCAGAATTGGTCAGCGCTGCCAAAAATATTTTCTTGACGCTGGTAAAGAGAAACTGCCAGCTGCACTCAGTTGTGGTCATTAATGAGAAGCTAGTCCTTGGCCTTGTCAAGGCGAAATATATTTTTGAAATCTTTGAGACTCTAAATTTTCTCAGGAATTCAGACTTGTTGGGGAAAAACAGTTCAGATGAATCTTGAAAGGACAAAATGATATGGCGTGCATATCCATGATGAGTGTGTGCAAACTCCAGACTTCAGCTATGACAGACACAGGTTATGACAATAACAAGATAAATGTGTAAATACTCCTATGTGTAAAAAAGTAAAATAAGAAAGACGTTTTACAAATCTAATTTCTCCATTTACATTTGCTGTTTACGTTTATATCTGCTGTACAAGCTAGCATTAGCATTACTTCACAGCTAAAGGAAGTTAGAAACGTAATGATTAAAAACTCCCTGTTTGGGTTTTGTTTTTTACTGCAATGTGACAATCGTTTAGGTCAGACATTTTTCAAATAATTCCTAAAATTACAACTGATATGATTCATTTTTATGGCTGCTATAAGCCACAGTTATAGATGTACCATTTGATAACTGTAGCATACTTTTGTGAAAAAGACCCAAAGCAGTTCAATTGGTTGAACTTTGTTGTACTCTGTTAAGCCTTCATGTTATCCAGTTCAAGTCTTGCTCTCTCACTGGCCGAATGAACCAGAAACCAATGGTGCTTAAATTACTTCTAAGTCAAGACTGTGAACTTTGTTTCAGAGGGCTGCAGTCTGTCTCACTGTAGTACAATCGATGTATTAATTATATCATAACAAGCCATCATTGAATTCAGAATCATTCTTATCTAAGAAGAGTTGACATTCATTAGTTTTGTCTCATAAAAGATTTTGAATGACAATTTTTTTTGCTCCATATTGGACTGATGGATGTACAGTAGGCATCACTACTGTGACTCTCAGGTCTTGAATGAAAAGTAGAACCAGAAGAACAAGCTGAAAAGAAAGGACGGTTTGAAAGATTACGAGGACACTAAGCTCTTTGGAGTTTCTGTGACCTGCTTGCAGAGAGCAGATCAGGGATGTGCAGCAGCACAGCGGTGTGTGAGGAGGAAATCCTTTTGGAGAGAGTAACCAGGCACAGCAGCTAGCTACGATAAAATAATAATCTAGGGCAGCCCCTCCCCACTTTTCTGCTTTTACACTGCCACACTCTTTATGCAATAAGAGAAACACCAGTGGAGACGCACACACACTTTTACATGCAGCCACACTGCAGAAAGTTGTTAGTTTTCTTCCCCCTCCCATCATCCCTCTCTGCTGTTGTTTCCAACACACTTATATTAGTGCTGACACACACCTTCAGACCTCACCCCTGGCCTTTTAAAACTCTTGGATCCCATTAGTGGCATTTAAAAATTTAAATGTTTGGAGCTTCCGCTTGGTTGCAATAGAAAGCAAAATGGCCATAGCTTTGAAAAGGACAAAGTGCATTAAACATCGCAAGACTAAATCTAAATTTAGTTGAAAAATAAGCTTTATTTGGGGGGAAAAAAAGCAAATAAGAAAGGCACTTAACTGGGGAGAACGAACATATGAATCTGGGAAAGAGGAAAATATGGGATGAGGGGGAAGATGGTTCAGATCCTGTAATTACTCCGGGACGGTAAGAGGTTGGTCTTCTGCAACCCTTATTTTTTTTTTTTTTTTTTTTTTTGAAACCCGGCTTTTTCCCCCATCTGAGTCTGATAAATGAGCCAGAGTCGAGTCTTTAGGCAAATTGAATGCATAAATAAACAAGTTCTCATCTCCGCTTCCTTTTCTTATTCTCTTTCAGGTACAATTGCTGGTTCCCCCTCCGGTTCTAGTAAGTAATAATGCAAATCAAAGCAGAAGATGTGCTACTCATTTCTGCCTCTCTTCCCCGCTCGCTTCTTATCCCTTTTCTGTTGCACTGAAATTTTGAAGTTAACCATCTATTTTTTTTTCCATCTGTATCCCTGCTAAACTCCACCTCTCTCCCCTGTGATGTTCAGCTGGCTCTCTCCAGTCGCTCATTTCTTTTTTTTTCTTTTTTCTCCCCCCTACATCTCTACACTTGGAGCTTCATTATTAATAGATCTCTCTGTCGCCGCATCCTTTCATCACAGAACATCACACTAACCTGCACAGAAGGAATTCTTCCACATATCTGCTTTTTATATTTAGACTAATGACAGTTTGCCGCTGATGGATTGAAGGAAGGAGGAATGAGGAGGGGTCAGGGGGGGTTTGTGCATATGTCGGTGCATGGAGCAGCAAAACAGAGGGAGCAATTGGAGATAAGGATGTGGGCATATGTTAGTTTGTTGTAATGCAGTGTGATTCAGGGTGAGGAGCGAGGGAAGGCAGGAATAAAAGGGAATTTGATTAGGGATTCTCTCTGTGGAGAGGCTCTCAGCCTCCGAGCTGTTAGACAGAAACGATCGGCAAAGTGGCAACTTCTACCCTGACAGCACTGGGTTTTCCTCCACATGGCCTGACAGTAAGAGACGAGTGGATGCACGGGCAAACTTAGCAACTGGACCGGGCTGCAGAGAGAGAGCGACTCCAACGCGACCTCCTTTGACAATCAAGACACAACTGAGTGATTTATTTGAGCAAATAATGGCTTTGGTAAAATATTCTAGATGACTGTGTGGTGTCAGCTGTGGAGGACCGATTTCAAACTCATTTTTAATTCAATGGTATGGTGAGTTTTAAATGATTTTTTTTTTTTTTTCCATTTTTGAAAAGACTCTGTCTCTGGGATTGCAATACCTGTGTTCCACCAGTAGGTGTACAAAACGTCGGTGTTGATCACATTGAAGGAGATCCTGAGTCAAGTTTTTTTTTTTTTTTTTTTTACATAATTTTTTATTCTCCTCTCAGCCAATAACCTTTTCAACTTACTAACCTCATTATGAGTTCATTTTTCATCATTTTCATTTTTGATAATCACAGGATATTCAATCCACATGAATACATCGTAGACAGTTTTTTTTTATTTTTTTTAAATTTGTCATTCGTCCCCAAAACGTCCGGTGAGAACAGAGTAAAACGTCTCTGTTTTGCAAATTGTCCCCATCGCTGCAGGACAGATCCGGCATTTGTCAATGCATCGTTTAATTTGTTTGAGTTTGTAAAGTAAAAAAAAAAACAATAAAAAAACAAATCACCTCTTTACCTTCACACTGTATGTTTTCTTTTCCTGCAAATGAAGATAGGAAAGAGGGTGAGGATGACGTTGAAGCTGAAACTGAAGCAACGTTCATCTCCGAAGCTGAACTGTCGCCGGCCGTTACACACGAGCCTTTAAGTTCTCCTTTGGAAGGTGCGAAACGTAGTTTAGCCATAGATAGAGAAACCGAGTAGCTTTTCCTTTTTACTGTAAAAACAAGTAGCGGAAGCCTAACCCCATAATGTCACTTCTGTCCTGTCTAGTGTACACCAGCAGACATGAAGTTCTAGTTACACCAACAGTTGCACACACTGCAGAAAAAAAAAGTGTCTTTTTTATTTAGTCCTAAAACAGCAAATCTACCTTTGCATGAAGGTCACACCAACAGAAGCCAAGTGCTTTTGTGATTTTGCAACAATAAAATGCTTAAGGCTATTTTTTTCCTCTTTCGCTCCCTCGTCTTTAAGATTCTGACACTTACTTCACCAATATTTCTTAAAGGAGTGCTTCAGTATTTTGGGAAACATTCGTCTCCCTGTCAGAGAGCTGGAACAGATGATTGACAGCGCTCTCATGTCTGTTTCTTAGATATGATGCAGCAGACAGCAGCTGTTTAGCTCATCCAGAGACTGAAAGCAACAATCCTGGCCTACAAGACAATGAGACACCTTAAGTTAACCTTTCCTTGTTTTGCAGTCAATATGAAACGTATTATGGAAACGATGAGGACGTGCTTGTTGGCTTGGCACTGCCACAGCTTGGAGAAATTGTTGACTGCACAACAACTCCTAGGAGTATAGTTTGTAGAGATTTCGTTCGAGATTATTGGAGTAAGTTAAAACTGAGCTTCAGAGGCTTTAAATTTGAGTCCTTGGTCATATGCTACACTTGACTTGTTGATTAGCTTACAAAGAAATATGTTCTCAATTTTGTACAAGTGACAGTGCCAGAAGTTTGAAAGCACTCATGGCCATACATGTCATATAATGGTTTTTCTCAAGGTGAAATTATTACACCATGATTTTATAAACAAGAACTGACTTCATACATTTGAGTTTATTGTGAAGTCCCTCCAATCAGCACAGGGTCTTAATTTATGGATGCCAGCTCGAATCTGCTCCCATCCTATTAGTCTTTGGTTTATTGCATCTTGAGAAGTTGCAGAGAAACCCCTATCTTTTGTAGCCATCATATTTCTCTCTTAACAGACATGGTAGTGTTCCTTTAAATTATTTGACTTCCTGGAACAGACCTGGCTTTCAAGAACATTCCATAAATTCACTTGTTTTCCTGTTTGGCGCTATTCCAGGAATGACATGTTAATCTGCTTTGTCAATTCCCAAGCCAGCTTTGATGTGTGTTCGGGTACATGGCCCTGTTGGATCACCCAATCTCACCAGAACTGTCACACACACACACACACACATGAAAGGAAATTGCTTTGGATGTTCCAAAACAATCCAAGCAAATCAGAGATTCAATCCTAACTAAGATGTTGGAGCACTTTTCTTGTTGGGGGATGAAAAAGTGGCAAACTTATGGAAAAAAATAATCACACAAGACTTGAATCTTCTCTGCTCCAATCAGACTAACAGGGAGGAGATTTATTCAGCACATCTATGTAAACTTTACAAATTCAACAATTACAGCAAATCTTCCAAAAAGCTCAAACTCTTTAATGGTTACATGACCTTTTACAGGACTTCATACCTGTTGGGGTCCATCCACAGCCGGGATATTTCAAAGCCGACTGTAACAGCTTACAGCACTTTAAGAGTTTCTGTCTCCGAAATTCAGTCTGATGACTTTAAGCTGTGAAGAGTGAAAACATAAGGAGGCAAAGTGATTATGTGGACTGATTAATTTATTATGTGGACCTGAGACATCAAGATGTACACAGTAACATTTCCTTTTTACTACATTTTAATATATGTAGTAAATTGTAACAATCTGCTCATTTAAGTTTGGGAGTAGGTAAAAAATAATGAGTGGGTAGGTTTTCCGAAGTGGAAAGCTGAATTTCCTCTTTATTTGATCATGATAACGCAGCAGAGCCTCTTCTGGTGTCTGCATACACAAAAACAACGCCCCAAAGGAAGCCTGCTATTGAAAATTAAGAAAGACTTTTTTTTTTTTTATCAGTCCAACATATCTGACCACCTCAATAAGTGATGATTTTTTTCTTCTTCTGGATGTTTAAATGATGCAGTCACATTGCAGCAGGAACTTCCTACACATCTGTGACAAATCCAATGTGCGCTCCTGTGGACGTGCTTATAGACTCTGACAGTCGGGGTGTTTGTGTCAGTGTAGGAATCATTCATAATTCATCCTCCAACTTACTGGAGGTCTTAAGCTGAACATTGACCGTTTCTCAGGCTTTTTATATCCCTGACATTAATGTTGGATGTGGATTGTCCTGTCTTGAAAGCTGGGTTGTCAAAGTGTTGTGGATATTCAGACTTTATTTGTTCTGACTGACTGATCTGAAACAACCCCCGGAGAGACGGGGAAGGTTTCTGTCAGCTGCCTCGATGTACAGTAAAGTGGTCTTTAAAGCCCTTAAAGCCCAGCTTGCCTTCATACTAAATTAAAACCTGCCATCTTGGTAAGCAGCTGCACCTTTAATGCCGTGCCAAAACGGAAGTCAAAACGTGGGATGCGCTTGGATTTCCACATCAGCGTGATGTCATCGGACATTTTCTGGTCTTGAAGGAATCCATTAAGCGTGGGCGTTTTGAACAACGCAGCAGTTTTTGTTGTTTGGCTGACATCAGGAGGAAACTCAAAAGAGTTCAATGATTAGCAATGACTCAGGAGAATCTGACAGGAGCTTCGACTGAGGGGCTCGAGAGCCTTTGATAGTTCATCATGAAGGACGTTGGCTAACGATAACGTGCGCGGTTCAGTCAAACTCGAGCGAAACAGGAACATTTTCTGATCTTAAACTGCCTACAGAGTGTTTCCTTTTAAGTTGTATGCTTTTGCTGCACCTTTGCAACCTTAATTCAAATATCACATATTGATTTAATGATTCAGTACCTTTCTGTGTGGAGATTGCATGTACTATGTGCTGTGCATGCATGGGTTTTTGATGGCTTTCTCCCCCAGTCAAAAACATAAATGTTAGTTTAAGGAGCCTCTCCAGTTGCCCCTTATAGAAAACTTATGAAAACTAAAGTTTGTATTTGTACTCAGACCCCTTTACTCTGATATGCCTAAATAAAATCCAGGGCATCCTGTTTGTTTCGGTGTGCAGTGCCATGTAGAAGCACTGCACTGGACAGAACAGCTCCTGCATGGAACATTGTGGTGGCGGCATGATGCTGAGGGTTTTTCTTCAACTGGGATCGCAAAAGACTTGAGCCAGAGGACGTGTTTCATGACCCCAAACTTACAGCTGCAGCTACATTTAGACCGAAGCATGTTAGTTTTCAGATGACCCAGTCAAAGTTCAGCTCCAAATCCAATTGAGAATCTGGAAGATCTGGAAACTGATGTTCACAGACACTCTCAGTTTGACTCAGGTTGTGTAACAGACAAAACCAACATATTTAAAAATATGGATTTGTATGCTCAGAGAGTAAAAAAAAAGGGAAGTTGATTCTAGAAACATACATGCTACTAAATGACTGTATTTAATATAAGTAGCTCAAAGGTGAAAAATCCTATCCAAAGCAACTGCTGCCTTTTTAAAAATCTTAGGCTTAGAGGAGTGTATTTAGGTTTTAGCCTGACCCTGTTGTATGTAAACCCCGTTTTTGTGTGTAGGTGTGCGTGCATGTGAGTGTGTGTGTGTGTGTGTGTGTGCATGTTTAGATTTATGGCAGGCATATGGTGCAGTTCAGTGGAACCCATAAATCATCTCCATCTCCTCTGTGTCCTCACGGGGATCTGAGGTCTTAGGTCCCATTCTCACCAAGCGGCCGCCACTACTGTTTGCACACGCACACACTACAACACACACACACACACACTACAAAACACTGACATGCCAAGCTTTTATGCTGCTGTGTGTAGCTAAGGGCTATGATGTCTATAAGTAGTTCACTTTACCCCATTCATTATCTTCAAAGAAAAAAAAAAAAAAAAAAAACTTTAATGTCTAATGTCTTTTCTGAAGCTTCAAAATATTTAACCAGGATTGGAAGTTAGAAAATAATTGTAGCATCATATCATGGTTGGATTTTATTTTATAAATATTTTCTGGTTGGACGGGAAGGAATAACGAAAAGCGAAGGGATTTGTCGTTTGTTTCATGTTATAAACTGCTGCCTGCCCAGATGTATCTATGAAATCCTTACAGCATGCAGTATGTGTCAGACAGCCATGTCATAGTACTCGCATCCTTTGTCTTGTCTCTGCCCCAGTTACATCAGCGAGCTCGCTCAGAGGATTAGCGATCTATTGGCAACAGAGTCTGATCCACCGGGTATGCAGCTCATTGGTCAGTCTGGACAGATGGGTGTAGGCATGGTGGAGGGGGGGTTTCAGGTCATAGTGACCCAATCCTTGAACCCTGTCATAAATCTACAAGCCCCGACCACATGACCTTCACGTGACCACCGTTTTATTTTTCATCCAAAAATCTGGAACTTAACAAGAGCTTCGAAATGCACGGTCACGTGGTCGGACACGTGCGGAAAAGTGTGCGAACACGGGCCGCCGTTCACGCTGCTCTCCTCAAATCCTTGAATTTTTCACAAAAAAAAAGAAAAAAAAAAATCCCAACCTCGGCTCTGGTTATCGACTGATTGGATCATGGCTTGAAAATCATGTGACGCATTAACAACATCCAAGCTGGTTGACTTCCATTAAGATTTCATGCAGATGCTAACAGATCCTGAATCACGATGGCTTCATTATTGCGAAGCCAAATCAGCGTCTCACACTCTTGTAACAAATGATGAGAATGCTAAGACTGACAAGTGACATTTAGGTATTATTTACACTTTCTTAGACGATTTTTAGAAGAAGTGATAAATGATCTCATTATATGCAAATCCATTTGTGAGGAGGACACCTAGACGTGTGTATGCACATGAACAGAGGGGGATGCGTTCGACGTCGTGTGTGTGCAGTAGGTGCTTGTGTGTGTGTGTGTGTGTGTGTGTGTGCGCGCGAGAGAGACTGTGTCATCATGGGACTGTTAGTGAGTCCATTTGGACAGATGGGTGCATTTCTACAGGATTATGATGGATATCGGTTCAGACTGTTGATGCCGACCACGAGAGAGCAATGTTGCTGTCAGATGGATGCAAACAAAACTTTTATTTTACGTTTTATTTCTGTGCATGCAGAGGATTCGGACCTCAAAGTCCCCGCGACTGAGGTTGGAAACTCACTTTTCAGTTCTCTGAACCCTCATCATCTTGATAAAAGTGAAGGTAGGCACAACGCATAGAACCTGCCCCAGATAATTTAGCTGTGCTTTAGTGTTGTTACACTACAATAGATAATTGCACCCTCGAAAAATTGCTGGGTTAAAAATAACCTAATTTAGCTGGTATAGTTGAGCTCAAAGTTATTCCTACACCTTACAGAGTCAGATTTAAGACAATCTTTAGTTTTTACAAAGAATCTAATGATTAGGGTGATGCGAAGGGGGCCTTCCATCCTTAAAAACTTGGAGCTTTTAAATAGCGGCGGGGCATTTAAAAAAGTGCCCAGAGATAATAAGAAGGATTTTGTTGCTTTGAAAAAAAAAATAAGCCAGCAGTTTTTGCTGTGTGTGTGTATGAGTTTTATGATCTGCAGATATATTAGTGAATGTAGAACACGTAACCTGCTTGCTCAACCATTTTTTTTTGCCCCCTCCTCTTAGTTTGCCCATTAGCCATTTGTGCTTTTTAGCTTTGTGCTCTGAAAACCCACGAAGAACAAGAAATTCCTAAAATATTTTCAGACACTCTTATAACCAGTGAGTAAGGTCGCTTTTATCTCTTCCGTCTCTCAAACCGTGCAGTGTATTTAGTGTAGCCACTCCAATGTATGTACAAAATAGAATATGGTAGTAATTTAGGATTAATCATTGTTATGTCAGTCCTGTAATAGAAGACGAGCATCATTATTGGATTAGGTTCTGTTACAGACGCCATTATCTAAATGCAACTTAAGTTACACGGTGTGAAGAGGAAATTCTTGATCGATCTGGCTGGCACTGACAGAAAAAAAAAAAAAAAACCTTCTCAGAAATATCTATCCAGATAATCAACCAAAAAGAAAAACTGCAGTCATAAATAAATATTCTACGGCAATAAAGAGACATAATTACAAAAAAGACATACACATTTTTAGAATCGATAATAATGTCAGATGTACTACCTATAACAGAAAAGGAATGTATTTTTTTTTATTTTGCAGGTATTTATATGGGCTGCACAGTGGCGCAGTTGGTAGAGCTGTTGCCTTGCAGCAAGAAGGTTCTGGGTTCAATTCCCAGCCCCGGTCTTTCTGCATGGAGTTTGCATGTTCTCCCTGTGCATGCATGGGTTTTCTCCAGGTACTCCAGCTTCCTCCCACAGTCCAAAAACATGACTGTCAGGTCAATTGGTTTCTCTAAATTGTTCCTAGGTGTGAGTGTGTGCATGGTTGTGTGTCTCTGTGTTGTCCTGCGACAGACTGGTGACCTGTCCAGGGTGATCCCTGCTTCTCACCCAACTTTAGCTGGAGAGGCACCAGCAACCCTCACGACCCCACTAAGGGACAAGGGTGTAAAGAAAATGGATGGATGGAGGTATTTATACAATCAGTTAATAAAAGTTTCAGTGAAGCAGGATTAGAGAAGCCCTCTCTCTAATCCTGCCTAACCCCAAATAAAAAAAAACAACTTAATCTGTTAGTTGTACTTGAACAAGTTAACAGGGAAGTGGCTTTTTTGTGTGTTGAGCTGAGAGAAATGTGGCGTATGTACAGGGAGTACTGCATCTAAAAGGCTATTTGTGAGGAGATATACTTTTGTATTTTCAAAGATAAATACCTACCAATACAATCAGGAAACATAGTGATGCCTAATTTATGGATACAGATGATAGTATTCATTCATTCAGCATAGTGAGAATTTAAGCATACACAGTCCAGTGTATGACTGGGTAACACCACAATGAATGATATTGTATTTTTATTATTATTATTTTACAACCACGTCAACAATGGTCACACCCCTAATATGCACAATGCTTGTAAGCTGAACAGTATTTCCAGCAGTGAAAGGGTTGTGGAACAGCTTTTGAATTTAGCCTATCTCAGCAGTGTGAAATCACACTTTCATCGTGCGTTCTCACTTTCTGTGTGTGTGAATTAGAAAGAGAAAAGCTAGGCTTTCTTCAGATAAACAATCTGAGGCAGCATCTCTTATGCTAATGCCTTAGCTTGCTCATTCCTCATCGCATTTACATTCTCTGTCCTCCTGCACCTGATTCAACAGACAGCAGAGCTCCAGCGCCAGAAAGCAGATTTACAGAGGGCTCAGTCCCTCAAACGCACCACGCGTTACCCACCCGCACTTCATCCGAGCCTCCGCTGGTTCCGACGGGACAATCTGACACGCTTCCTGTCAGAACGGAGCTCCATCCTCCTTCGTTGTCGTCTCCGCTGGGGGAGGACGGAGTTTCCCCGCCACGGGAGTTCACTCGTTCAGAAACGGTCCCTGAGCATTCACATCTGTCCCACCCTGTTCCAGAAGGTTCCTCTCATCACTCTGTCACTAATCATCATCATCATCACATAGAAGAGCCTACTGTAAAAGTTCAGCATCATTCAAGCCTAACTGACGGAGGTAAGGCACACCATGGACTAGATTAGTCAAAATCTGACTTGGGAGATCATTTTCCAAGCAGGGTGCTTCATTTTGGGATCATTTTTGTGTTACGCTGCATCATCTCACGTCAGAGGGAATTGTTGAGTTCACCGAGATCCCCTCACTGTGGGTGTGAGGGTGAGCGAGCGTACTGATGAGGGAAAGTTTAATGTGTGATATAGGGAAGTCTTTGAAGGAATGACTTCAGTTGGCATTGTGTTTACATCATTCAGAGACATTGAGGGGATTGAGGAACATCAGCCACAGGATCAGAGCCAAGACAAGACACGAAGACAAAGCAGACAGAATTGGGGCAAAGCCCAACTTAACCTCACCCAGCTGCAGCACATTACAAACTACGGCGTCTGCAGCATTAATGTACAAACTCTGGAAGCATAAATAAAGCCGTATTGTATCGTCAGAGGTAACTGCCTGTTGGTTTAGGCGTGGTGTCAGCGTGCCTGCCAGGGCGCAGATATAGAGCTTCATCACTGTCTATCCTTACAAAGCCCGACCGACTCTCACACACACCCCTTCGCTTTCAGTCGCTGCAGAATGAGCAAGAACCTGGAATGCCTCCGCTGCCAACGTCTGATGTCAGACAGTTTTTGGGGGCTGAGCTGACTGAGATTAATACCGAGAATCATCCTGCCCCTGAGGCAGCGCAGGTTGCCGAGATCAAATTCATTTACGCTCTCCGCCGCGCAGCGGCAGCCCCCCGAAACAACCCGTGATTCAGAATCCCGCTTCGCCGCAGCGAGCGAGTGTGACAGATGTGTGAGAAGGCGGGTCTGGTTGGGCCAGAGGAGGACACAGTCAGAGAGACGTAGGCTGGGTGAACTTTGATGAGATGCAGCGATGGCATGAGGCCAGTTTTGTGAAGCGGTTCTGGGTGCTGTGAGAACAGCAGCCGTCGTCCTGTCTCACCGGAGCCCCGGGGAAAGTGGGGGGAGAGAGAGAGAGGGAGGGGGAGGGGGAGAAAAGAGCGAGTGGGCGGGAGGTAGCCTGGAGGGGGATGCTCCGCAGGGGAGCAGGATGCTTGCTGAATCCCCCCCGTATCTGAAAAAGAACGCACAACGCCCGCTCTGAACACCTCACGGGGGGGGAAACACAGATGGAGGCTTGCAGCTCTGTAGTCTCTAGCGGTCCGGCAATCATTAGTCCCTCAACGATGTTCACGGTGTGGTCACTCGCTTTGATTAGTTACTCACATTTTTGTTAGCAATCATCTCTTTGAGGGAGACTGTGGTGGTTTAACTTAATGAACCACGTGTTTGTTGATGAAAAGGCTTGATCTACATATAAGTCTGACCAAGAGTTTATATTGTGTTTCATCTGATATTAAAAAAAAAAGGTTATAATTATGCACACACTGCATGTACTGCGCTCTAATATTTAGTTACATGTCCTTTAGCAAGTTGCAAAGAAATAACACACTGCTTGTGTCTGTCAAGTGGAATTATTCTGGCTGGAAATTTGATCTGTCGCCTTGCAAGAAAGGTAGAGAGGCCCATTAAATCTAGCTTTGCTTTCTACCATTTCCAGTAGAGTAGAAGGTGAGGACACTACAGAAGTGCAATGATGGTCTGCTTTGGCAGTTCCAAAGCCACGTCGATGTGCATTTCAAACCATTGTCTTGTTGGAAAATTCATTGGTATTCAACAAGCTTATCTGTTGATTTGAAAATCATCTTTCTTCGTTATTTGTACCCACCGATGTTGTTTGATGCACCAGCACCACTGGCAGCAAAAACATTTACAAGTCTTACTTTGACTCTTCCAAACACACATTTTGTCATTAGAGAAATGTCCCCATTTCACAATAAAAGCATTTGATTTCAACATTTAGGCAGCTTCACTTGTCAGATGTGATAGAAGGTGTCTGGTTTGGACAGATCTTTCTTTCATGGTCAGTCAGCGCTGATGTTATACACCTCAGTTATATTTTTATACAGGCTTAAGCCGAGGTGGTTCCTGGACTGTTCTTGAACATCATAATGAGTGAAAATGTGCCACAGCTAGGTGATTCAAAAAAAATAATTACCTCAAGCACATATTGAAGCTGGTTTGGAATGGCTAACGCTGGCTAACATTAAGCCTCTGCAACGGTTGACCTCAGGTTTGTTGGAGATTTATTTCTATTGCTTAAAAGCAAAGGCTGTGTCACTAACCTACCAAATGAGCTTTATCATTTCTGATAAGAAGAGTGGTCAAATATCCAGCCAGACGTATGCCACAGCCTTGTTAATACCTAGAGAAAAACTGTGTAGTTTTTCAGAAAAATGTTACGAAAAAACTCAAACTCGCTCACCTAATTTCTGTTTTGAAAGTCCCTTAAAGTTCATGCCGTCGCCGTGTTTCTGTACACTTTAGACCTGCTCTGTATTAACTAAACTAGCTTCACATCTCTCCTTTTTTTGTTTGGACTCAATCTGTTAGCCCAAAAAGCATGCAGTAGAGGATCTTGGGAACAATATCAAGCCCTGAAGGAGAACTAGGCAGAGGCAATTAAAAATGCGTTACGATTGGTATGTGTGTGCTCGGTTAGCTGGTATTGATTGAAGATGTTTTGTTCTTATCTCAACACAGGAAAATACATCCGTGAGAAGGCGTTACTGTATCATAAGCCAGATATTTTGTGCTTTCTCTAGGTATATTTTGGATGAAAAAGGGGGAACGAACATTCAGACACATTCATGACATTCACATAAAAGCGGGAGCATGTCATACTTTTCACACCCAGAGTGAAAGTGTAGCAATGAAGAAGCTGCTCAAGCCCCTCTGACTCTCATAGCCCTCCCCGAAGCCCAGGGCTGAGGCCCCCAAAGGGCCGATCCGCTATCTGACAGAGAGGGAGAGAGAGAAAGAAAGACAAGAAAAAAGAAAACTAGGTCTTAGCAGGAGGCAGGAAGACAACAGACATTATCAGTAATCTTTAGCCGCTGCAGCATCAGCCTAATTGTGAAGTTCATATTGTTCAGGCTGCTGAGGAAATACCCCACAAACGTCTCCGTTCTCGTTTTGTTGATTATGACTGTGGTTCTTCAGTTTCCCACAAGTCTGTACATGAGAGTCACGGACACAAGGCAACAAGCTCCACTGAGCATGAGCGAGGCAGGGAGGAGGAGGAGGACGACGAAGAGGAAACATCTAAAACGACAGGTATCTCGCATAAATGTAGAGGCAGACGTAGCTCTCAGCGCAGAAACGGTGCGCAAAATAAAAACTTTTAATATGGACGCTGACAGCTCAGAGTGAAAAACGGCCATATAAAAACTCAAGGTCGGATCTATATAAATTCATCTCTTCGCTGACAAAATAGTCTGTCATTCAGGCAGTTTTTGACACCGAAAGCATCATCATAGATTCACTTAGACAGTGACTGAAGCTGATGGGTTCAAAATGAAAAAGATTTTTTGAGAAAAGGGGGGAAAATAAATTTCACCTCCTTTTGAGGACCTTTGTGTAAACAGCATTACTCTGTGATAGGTGCCCACAGTCCAAAGCTGCAACACGAGACCCACGGCCACAAGCCAACAACTTTATCTGAACACGAGGGGCGGCGCAGCGAGGCGGGGGGGCATGCAGAGGCTAAAGGTATCCATTTAGTATGGTAGTACTTTAATCAGCCGTAGTTTATTGTAGTTGTGTAAACATTTGCTCTTAACGTGATTTAATTTTAACCGTGAAGTAGCTCTATCAGCAAATCCCTGCATTTATAGCTCTTTGCATTAAACACATTGAATAAATAACTTTCAACACAAGTGACATTTTAAAGACCACACCGGTTTTACAATTGTTTTACCCATTTCTGAAAATGTTTGGGTTTGTGTGCGGCTTCCTCCTTTTTTCAATTCCCTCTAGAATATTTTCAATAGTGATCAAGTCAGGCAACTATGATATCCGATCCAAAATCCTACATTTATTCTTCTGGAACCAAGGTTGTGGTGTATGTCTTGGAGTTTAGCTACGAGTCCTTTTAGCATTTATTGTGTGCGATACTTTGGAAACTGAAGTCTTCTTGCCAGTCTTTCATTGTCAGTCAGTGGTTTTCTGACAACCTTCCTCCTCAGGAATCATGCAGGTAGCGTGTTTGTTGTTCAAAACCTTCTACAGGAATATTTCAGGGATGCATGGTCTTCCTCACCATCACGTCATGCAACAGTGGCTGTTGCATGATGCCTATAAATATAATATAGGCAAAGAGCAAAGGCTGGATAGTACGTTAATATTTGTGTCTGGGAACCATAAATATATTGAAGCTTCAAGTATTTTCCTATCAAAGGGACAAAGTTTGCAGCTGATCTCAGGATAATCACGGAGAACTTAAAAATAAGTGTCTGGTTTATTTGATGAGCTCTGGTTACAGCTTTCGGAGTCGTTGCCCAGACTGTTACAGAGGATCCATAACTTAACACTAAGTGGGGGCATAAATTGTGTTTGCTGCTATAAAAGTTATTAGAGCTGGCTGTATGCGGCGCCTTGTATTAGCTGCGGCTCAGATGAGGCACTCCAGTGTTTGCTGTCTCACATCATTATCACAAATCAGTTTGTACAGCTATTAAGATAAAAATCTGCAGTATGTAATCTGGCGTTCCACTTTCGTTGTCTGATAACAGAAGTCATAAAATAATTAGCTCATTACCAAAACATGAGTTTTCTGCCGAGCTTATCGTAAAAGTTATCCTTTTCCCATACAATGATCAGCCCACTCAGTTTTTCTTAGATTGAATAATTTCCAGTTTAATCAATCGTACACCATTCAGAGGGCAAACCAGGAAAATTAAAGGAACTATTGAAATACAGTGTATAATCTTGAAATCTCCATTGCTGTTTCAGTTAACCTTGTGATTTTTCAGACCTCCACAAATCTGAAGACTACACACATGAAACTCACGGCCACAAAATACCCTCATCCGCGCATGGAGAGAAAGGGAAGCAAACAGAAAATCATGTTGAAATTAAAGGTATCTCTTCACATGTGCAGGCAATATTAACTTGGACGTAACAGAACATTTTAGTCCTTTATGCTTCTTACAATAATTCTGTTGTGTCAGACCCCAATGCATCTAAACATGAAACTCATGGACACGCAAAAAAAATCTCCTCTGGGCAAGTGGAAGACGGTAATGAGGCTGAGAAGACAGGTATTTATGAATCTGAGAATTAGTTTTAGTGATTAGCCCAGTAGAGAGAAACAAATTCATATGTTTGGTGAAAAACAGTAAGAAAGTGTTTGAGATTTCGCTGAAAACTTTGGTTTGCCAGTTTCCCACATGACGGAGGGACATGTGCACGAGGCTCATACATCAACTGGATTGTCTGAACATGGTGAAGAGCAGCACACAAAGACAAATCCTCACAAGACAGGTAACCGAATTTCTATATTCACGTTCTGATCGGTTGTTCTGAAATTAGCCTCGTCAGAGACCCTCTTAGGTCACTACTTGAGTTGCACAAACTAAAAATACTTTTAGTTTTTTTTTGTTTGTTTTTTTTCAGAAATTAATTGCCATTGTAGTTTGCGAATATTTAACTGGCTTCAGAGGCAGGAATTACTTAAAATAACAATGCCCTAACTTAAAATAAAGCATTGCCAGCTCGATGGCTACTGAAAGAGCTGTTGATGTTCAGCTCCCCAGATGGTTTTCCTCATTTTGGAAATAACAATCGTGTCTTGATTGTTTCCAACGAGTTAGAGCGACACGGACATGAGACGCATGACCACAGAACAGCTTTACCTGAACACGAAGAGGGAACAAACACAAAGTCTCACACAGGTATGTAAATGTAGCAGCTCTGTAGTGTAACATAGGTACATAAACTCTACCATAGCAGCATAAACCGATAGTGGTCAATTTATCAACATGACCTCTAACAGTAGTAAATGACTCCCCAACAGAAAAAAGGCAGGAATGCATCTTAGTGTCTGCTTTCTTCCTGGTTTTGCTTATGACAACGGCAACTGTGATGTGACAGTTTCCCACATGTTTGAGGGACACACACATCAACCGCATGGCCACGAAACACCCACTTCATCCCAGTCGCATGGAGAGATAGTCCTTGAGCATGAAGACATAAAAGGTATATTCTTGTTTTTAACCCTTGTGCGTGCGAAGACTAGGGCAACCTCAACAGGACAGACAGAGCGTTTAAATAGGGTATCATGAGATAAAATAATGTTATTGGGTTCAGAAACATCACTTTCAACAGTTTCATAACTTTGCCACACATTAAGTTTATATTCTATTTCTAAACTGCAGCGCTCATACCACTAAATTACCAAAATTACCAATATCTGTAAATTGTATTGCATATGCTGCAGTATACCACAGAGAGTTAGGAAATACTTGAGCAGTAAAACTTCAAAATGCGTGGCAGGCAGGTGGAGCCTGGTGTAGACTGGACGTCCTTAAGCTGGTAGTCTATGACAAAGTTATTGTAAAAATATATATAGATGTGTTGCTTTTATAGTAATGATTGTGGTGTTTCAGCTCACAGCAGTCATGAAGAAAACATACATCAGGCTCATGGTCATGAAGCAGCATCTGAACACAGAGCAGAGGGTGAAAAATCCCCAGAAAGGCAAGGTATCATTACAAAAAGCTTAATGCCATCAATGAATACTTAACAAAAAAAAAAAAAGAGAGATTGACTTTGAAAGTCACACAATGCTGTGAACATGAGAAGCTTTTAAAATGTTTTTTTTTTTTTAATTATCTCAATTTTCATAAAAATCTCAACGTTCCAGTCTTCCACAACCACGAGAACCACGAACACAAAACAAGCTCAGTGGAAAATAGGCAAGAGGAGACTAACAGAATAGGTATCTTGTTTACTTGTGGGGTTGGGGTTTGTTTCTTTATCATTTTATTAAAGTTAAAATTACCAGAGATTAAATTTTTTTTTCCTCGAGAGAAATAAACACAAACAGCAGTGTAGAAAGAAACTGAAAGCTTGATGTGAGGACTAAAATATAATTAAGAAATCTGCAGAGTAATTTATTTTCCTTATTTTGTTCTTTGCGGTCTCGCTGGGTCAGACACACATGGGCACATTAAACCAGCCGGTCACAGGCACGAGGAGCATCCACACAGAACAGCTGAAGCTACAGGTATCCGCATGTAGTTACAGATTGTTTCAATAAACAGACGTAAAAGTTTAAAAATCAAAGTTGGAAAAAAAAAAATGACCATTTGCACGTCGTGTCATTTTGGACGACTTAAATTCCATAAATGTTACTCGTGTGCTATTTTACGTCTGGAATAAAAGGTAATAACTATGTTGTGTGTTGCTAACGATGATGTTTATCAGTCTCCCACACATCTGAGCAACAGCGTCATGGAACGAAAGGTGAGGCAAAACATACAAAAGGAAAAGCTTTCTGTCACTGTGATCCATCCACAGGTAGAATAGCCGTCCTGTAGCCAGCAGCCGTCTCCCTGTAGTTTCACGTTCTCCATCTTAGTTTTTTATACACATCCAGTGGAGCTCCTAACCTCTGTAGTATCCTGAGAACTCATACTCATTCAGCGATGTTAGCTCCACCCCAGTGAAGTAGATGAGAAATGGAAGTGCAACGTTCTTTTAATGGATGACGTTAGAATAATGTGTTACGTTAGGCCACCACTCGTTTGAGGAACATTCGCTGAAGCATCAAACATCATCTCATCATGGAGAGGGCCACATACAAACACAAGCTGAAAGGAAAGGTACCCTTGTTAGCTGTAGTGGTTAGAAGTGCATTTTGTGGTAGAACTGCATCGGGTGGCTTAGGTCGATATATGTGGAAGGCTTGAAATGCAAGAGATATAAGTCGCACGTGATGTGTTTTATAAATTGGAGCTTATCTTCCTGACACAATGACTTGTGAGCTCATGAAAGGTGTTACATGTGATTGCGGGACTTTTTCATAGTCTGATCTATAATTAACTCTTTTTTTATGTTCATTTGTTAGGGTGAGTTTTTCTTAATAAAAAGAAAACAGAACCAAAGAAAAATCCCATTTTGGACTATTTTGGCGCATTTGCCGCACAATAAATTCATAAATGAAGTTTGTAGATGTACAGAAAATGTATTTATTGTCTACTATGTAGTGTTTAAAGGATCTATGCCAATAGTTTTTCCTTTATTTAGTATGAACTGTAATGATTTTCAAGAAAAAAATATTTGACTTGCTCACAAGCAAAAGTATTTATACAATCTTCAAAAAAAAATAAAAATAAAAATTGTCCCTGAAAAAGATGGAGGAAAATCACTTGCCTTTCAGGGCTTCAGTAGATTTACCCACAAGTTACACCTTGTAAAAATGTATGAAAGTAAAATTAATCTTCTTTTGGTATTGTTATTTTTGTATTAACAATAAAATTGATGGGTTAGACCAGCACACATCTGTGGAACATGGACATGTAATTCAGAGCCAGACATCATCTCAGCATGGAGAGGAGAGAAAAGGTAACGCACTTCTACTATTAAGAGCATGATAATGTTTTCTGAAAGGCTGCCAAAAAAAAAAAACATCTTAAGGGGGTGTATTATTTTCATGATAGCTGTGTCAACCCCTCACAAATCCAATGGACATGTTCATGAGACTCATGGCCACCAAACGGCAACAGATGAGCAAAGGCACAGTGATACTCAGAAAGCAGGTATCTATTCAGTTTGTGTTCTTTTACGGTGGTTTCCTTATATTGGAGTGCGTGCCTACTAGAAACAGCAAAAGTGGATGTGAATGTTTGCTGCCTATATTAATGAACATTATTGCATCAGTCTCCCAGATGCATGAGAGTCTCGCACAAGGCCACAAAACAGCAGCCTCACATGGACATGGAGAGGAGGGGCATGGACACAATAAAGTAGAAAGGACAGGTATACAAGTGTGGATGTAATAATCTGAAGCTGGACTGATGGAAACATCAGAGAGAGCAAACAGCCTGCCCCTTTTTTTTTTTTTTTTTTTTTTTTTTTGCTTTTTGCTACATCAGAACCACAAACTTTAATGTCTTTATTGGGATTTCACGTGACGGAGCCACAGCAATTAGTGCGTAGCTGTGAACCAGAGGGGAAACAGACACAGATTTTGACAGTTTTTACAGATAAAAATAGGAAATGTGCATAATGTATTATATTTGCCCATTCTTCTTTGCGAATAAGCTCGAGTTCAGTCAAATTGAAGAGTTTCTATAAACAATAATTGTTTATAGAAATTGAAAGTCTTGCCAAAGACTTTCAGCTGAATTGTAACTCATGAATAAGTAACCTAAGCTGCAGCTCTGGCTGCGTGTTGCCAACCTCATAGGTGAACCTCTAATCCCATTCCAGTTAATTACTGCTGGGTATCATCCAGTATTCGTCTCTCCATCAGCTCTGACACGCTGCATAATGCTGCCACCACCATGTTTCACAGTGGGTCTGGTAGTTCTCTGATGTGCTTGTATTAGATTTTGGTCTGCTGTAGCCAGAGCACCATCTTTCACATGTGCTCCACATGGATTGTCGCAAACGGCTCGTGACGTTCTTTTAACAGGGACACAAAAAAAAACAACAAAAAAAACACTGATAAAAAGGTCAGATTTGTTGTTGTGTTAAAAGATTTTTCCAGCTGAGCTGGGCTGAGATTTACGTACACCGGGTCACTCGGCTGCCTGTCTGAGTAATGCACCCGTTGCCAGGCACGTCAGTTTTAGTGGTCAACTCTGCATCCTTTTCCTTTCACTGTATTTGTATGTGCTACTTTTTATGTGGGTCTGTTATTAAATTAATTCCACTAAAATACACTGACGTTTGAGGTTGTAACAAAGTAAGTAAAAGCTGAAGATGTGTGAATGATTTCTCAAGGCACTGCAAGTTTATAAAAATGATCTGAAGTCTTAGTTAGGAAATAATAGCATACTTTTTAAAAGTAGGTGCTGTGTGATTTTTAAATTATATATCACAATGTTAGGCAAATAAATATACAATATGATGCCGCTGGAACCTTAGAAGTGTAAGAAGGAAACACTTTGCTTCTCCTCTAAATATTAAATGATTTATTTTAGATCCCCACAAGCCCAGTGGACACGTACATGATGCTCATGGTCACATATCGGCAACCCCACATGGGCGTGGAGAAGAGGGGCGCACACACACAAACACTGAAAGGACAGGTACATAGAAAGCAGGGATAATTGAGTTGAAAACTCTAATGTTACTATCAGCTTACAGAAAATAACTGAGAATTAAAGGTGCAAAAGGTAGATCTTTACTCAGGCATTTACTCGTAAGCTAAATGAAAGCATGTATTTCAGATCCTCATGAGTCTCATACTGTTGTACATCATGGCCACAAATCGACTACCTCACACGGACATGGAGCGATGGAGCACGCACACGCAAAAGTTGGAAGTACAGGTAAACTTTTAGATGGATGGTTAAAAGATTTTGTAAATTTTTCCAAAACTTTGAGGTCATACACATTTACAAAACATGCCCTATAAAGAGTTAAAAACTGCAAAAAGCAGATATAGTTTGTGTTTGTTTTTGTTTGTTTTTTTTATCTGGTATTTTATTGACAATTATTATTTCAGATGCTCATGTGTCTCACACCCATGTGCATCACGGTCAGAACCCCCCAGGCTCACACGGGCACGGAAAGACAGAGCTCTCCCACGGACGAGTTGAAGCGATTGAAACGACAGGTATAGCTGTTAGACGGAGTAGACGTTATTCTCTTGAAATCAAATAATGTACGATATGCATCAGATACGTTAGCAAAAGGGGGAGGAAAAATAAGGACAATGGTTGTGCAGACTTGTCATCTTGTTGACGATGCTTATTTCAGATCCTCCGGCGTCTCATGGACACAGACATGAGACGCACGGTCACAAATCGGCAGCCTCACATGGACACGGACATGAGACGGACACACACAGAAAAGTTGAAGTGACAGGTACACTTACTAGATTTATTCAAAGATTAGGTCATGGAAACGTCATGTTGGTACATACGAAAAATAAAAATAAAAGCTAAAATCAATTAGAAACTGAGGAAAGATATCTTTAGAGAGTTTTCTTTGAGACCTTAATAAATAAAAATGTTAATTCCAGGCCATGACAAGTCCCTCGGACATGAGGCTCATGGCCACAGTTCAACAACCTCTCATGGACACGGAGAGGAGGAGCACACACCCAGACATGTTGAAATGACAGGTAGAGCTGTTAGACACAGCATAATGCAAAAGTATTCAAAACCCTTGACCTTTTAATATATATTTTGTAACATTATAACCAGAAAATTTACAACTGTAGCTGCAAGTTGACAAAATGTAAAAAAGCTTGAGACATATGAATACTTTTGCAACATCTTATTGTTGTGGTAGTTTAATAGATCAAGCACAAAAGTGAAAAGAAAAAGAAAAAAAGCTACAAAAACTAACGCACAAAAACAAGTAGCGATGTACAACAGACGTTTATTTGTAATCTCAATAAGATTATTGATTCCAGATGCTTCCAAGTCCCATGGACATGGACAAGAGATTCATGGCCACAAATCAGAGCATGGAGAGGCGCAGCATAGCCCAGGTACCACTTGGTTCTACATAGAGTATAGCATAGCATAGGATAGAATAGTTCCTCATTAGTTACATTTGGAATCTCGTAATAATAACAAAAAAATGTTGTTTCTGGTTGTGAAGACCCTCATAAGTCTGAAGAACATGGCCACCAATCCGCATCATTTGCACATCCACAAAGTGGAGGGCACGGGGAAACTCACAGGACAGGTGTCTGTTTTTACACGCCGTTATAGAGATCCTCCTATGAATCAACGTAAGAGCTTTACTTACATCTCTGCTGACAATGGCATTTCAGTCGCACATGGTTTTGAGGAGCACGCACACAGCACTCACGGCCACAAAGCACCAATCCCATCGCGGCGCGGGGAGGACAGGGAGGACGCTCACGGCCACAGGAGGGCTGAAAATGAAGGTACTTCGATTTTATGCAGTCATTGCGACGCGCTCGTAGATTTACAGTAGCTATGAATGCTACATTACATGTGAGGCAGCGGAAGCGGAGTAGATAAACATTGACAACAAATTAGGCTTGGCAGCTCACAGTGAGATGGGAAAATGCATCTAAACTTATTTCTTCTACTGAATAATGACCTGTCAGTCAACATGAGCAATACTGCTAAATCTTGATCTGGTAGTAATAGTAGTGCCACATTATTTTATGAAAGGCCTTTAGTGATGTTGAAGGCAAGAAGTAAAAAAAAAACTGCCTGCTATATGAAGTAAAGGTACAATATGCAGCTTTACTCTAATCAGAATGTTGTAAGCATTTGGTATTGCCTTTTTTATTATTATTATAATCGATGTCAATAATTTTTTACTCACAAATCTGTGAATGATCCTGACTTTAGTGTTTCGCGCTATAGTGTCAAGAAAAGTATTTGCCCACTTTCAGATTTATTTCCGTTTCTATTTAAGTGAAACACACTTAAATGTTTCAGATTGTAAAAAAGAAAGAAAGAAAGAAAGAATAATTATGATTCATTTGTCATGGTACAAGCTACTCAAACCTACCTTTCCCTACTTGGGAACGTATTTGCCTCCTAAACCCAATAGCAAGGAGCCATCTACTCCGCTGTCAAGGAGTTTTGGCTCACCGCTCTCTGAAACATAGTTATAATTTAGCCATGTTGCAAGCGTGAGCAGTCTATTCAAGTTTATGCTGCAGTCACAGTCTAGACTTTTTCATTTTTGTTTTCCAAGTGTTTCAAAGGTGGACTTCATGGTGTCATTCAGATCAATGACCAACTTCATGACCCAGCTTAAAGCCCCAAACTGGACAGACATTCAGGTTTTCCATTGTGGTTTAGAGCACAAGTCATGGTTATCTGTAGTCACAGTAAGTCAGCAACATTATGCCAGCATTCAACATGTTTGAATGTTGGTGTAATATTTTGCCAAAAGTCCTGGGGGTCATTAGGTGTGACGAAGAAGATGGTTGTAGCAATTTCCACACTGGTGGATGTCAGAGATTTTTTCTTTTTCCATTTGTTGTTGGATTTCTGTAGGTCAAAGCATGATGACTTGCTTTTGGAGATCTTTCAGCCTGCTTATTGGTGTCAACCTCATTTTTTGATTCTGGCAGTAATAAAGTGTCTGTATGTCCAGTAAAGTTAAAACTTAACTGACAAAAAAAAAAAAAAAAACGAAGTAATTACCAAAGGGGCAAATTATTTTGTTCGGTAAACCACTCCTGATTTAAACCCTGCTGAACGAATATAAATTGATTTTTTTGAGTGGTGGTTCATTTGTAGAGCACAGTATCGTTGTAAACCACGGGAGAGGAGGAGGTGGTCACGGAACCATAAGGCACGGTGTTCGGAAAGAAGACGACGAGGACAAAGAAAGAAGGAAAAAGAAAGGTAGAACCCTCTATCGATGTAGTCGCGCAGCGGTTCGTAACTGGTTGCACATATTGATTACACAGCTGAGGCAGCTTATTGTTTTTTCTGTTACTATTTGTTAGCTGTATTTGTGCTGAAGTGAGGCTCCCGGTCCTGCTTACGGTCTAGGAGTTCAGTTTCTTATCGTCCCATGAATGCTGGTGTATAAAAACACATGTAATGAGTTGTTAGCATGAAGAAATGAAGTGCGTTTTTGAAACATCTCAATCTGCTGCGTGAATTAACAACCTCTTATTACGGTTGTTAATTTTAAAGTGTGACATTGCTAAGGGACAAAGTATAAGCTGTGCTTGCTGTGAAGTCACTTCTGACGGTCAAACTATGGACGCTGTGATATCGAGACTGGAGGGAGCGTTTTTAAAGTTCTCCATCTTCTCAAGTGAAGCTGGGAATTTTGACGACTTCCCGTCAACACCCAAGAAACTTTAAACAAGTTCCACTATTGGTTTCCGGCTTTTTAGTTTGTTTCAGAATAACAATTTGCACACATTACTACATCGCCTTTTCAACCAAATCAAAGCATATTTTGTAACTAGAAAGCAACACAAGACATTTCTTTATCAATTTTTCTTTTTCAATTATGTCCAACCAGTAAAGAACTCTGCAGTAGTTATAGAGTCCGTCAGCTTTGCAGAACAAATTACAACCCATTTTCCCAGGTAGACTTACATTTTAATCCCAAACACCTAATCTATTAGGTTCCTCTGTAGAGTCCTGTGTTGTTCTGACGCCGTCCTCTAGGCTATGCAGACTCCAGCTGTGAGAATGTAAAGTGCAGTAGAAGACTGTGGCATGGTGAATGGCATGAATCTTAAACACAGGTTCCTTCATTTCCCCAAAGGGCTTCTGAAACTCCTGATCTCAGGAGAGCCTCAGGTCAAACAGTTACTCGGGATCATATATGACAGTTTTAAAGGTAAGAGGCCGACATTCTTAGCATCGGGTCCGAAGGACAAGTATTATATCTCGATGTGCCTTCTGGATTCTTTGGTGTTAAAGTTTGTGGGGAAAAATTCCTTCGCCTTGCTCCATCTTTTTCATCTGTCCCTCTTTGTCCACTCCTTCCCTCTGCGCTCGCTCCCCTCTCATGGCTGTGTTCACTTTGTGCTCACGATTAAGGTAAGGAGATGCACTTTGTGTTCATGCTGCTGTTCAAACACCTGCTAGTTGTTCACATTTATTTTTTCTTTTCTGAAAGGGACGCTTGTTTGGAAAACGTGCAATCGTCGCTTTAAACTCGCAACAGTTTTCTCTCACTGTGACCTTTCACTGTTAACCATTCACAACTGATAAATACCAACAAACCAGCATCTTGACTCATAACGCTAATTTGAGGAAGAATGTCCCATTGCCTTTCCAGTCTGGAAAGTAATTGGCCATTTATATTTAATTAGGCAGGTCTCCCCTACTGCTTGCACGGTTCCCTCAGTGCTGAGAGAGGCACTTTATGGTTCTCCTTGCGTTGGCTTCCTTTAAACCGGCTCATTAATATTTTAGCTGGCATCATCAGCCGAACAATAATAAAATAATAATGTGACGGCTGATTAAACAGCTAAACTCCGACTTTTTAATGTGCATTTAAATGTGTATTTCCATAAACATGCCCGGTAAACGCCTCTTTAGAGGACAGTGATGCCTTGCAGCACATCACTGCAGCCAACTTCTGAAGCTTAATAAAAGCTTAATTAGGAAGTGGCCTCAGCCAAGATAATCAGCCAGCGTGGAGCATCGCTGCTCCACCGACGGCTGCACCGCCTCTGCACAACGCAGGCACCTCTGTTCCTAATGTCATTAATCTCTCTATGAAGAGAAATTATTCCAATCGTTACACAATTTCACTTTTTTTTGTTGTTGTTGTTTCGGCTCGTGTTGCTGTGACGGACTGGCGACCTGCAAAGGGTGTACTCTGCC